AGTGTGGGAGAGCTGGCTCCAATGGCATGGCCCTGAGGTGTGTGTGGTGGTGGTGGGTGGGTGGGGCAGTGACCCTGACCCACCAGTTCAGCTACCACCCAGCCCCACATCCTGGACCTTGGGTTGGTCCACCCTCACATCTACCACATCTATGACCTGCTGGAGTGCGTGAACAGACTGGTCCTTTGCATGATCTCCATGACTCGGGGCAACAGCAAGATATCCAAGACCAGTTTTGGTGAGGGTCCAGTGATGATGGTGTGCCAGAGGCCTTGAACCAGACCAGTGACTCAGCTGCAATGAACATTTTGCCTGTGGGGCTGATTGGACCAAAGGGTGTCCTGCGTGACACACTGCAGCTTCTAACACCATTAAGATAAATGAAGAGGTGTTGGAAAGATGGAGGACCAAAGGGGCTTGTGTGTGTGTGTGTGTGTGTGTGTGTGTGTGTGTGTGTGTGTGTGTGTGTGTTGTTTTGTTTTTAATTGACTTTTGGAGGGGTTCCTTTGGAGGGGAATGCTGCAGAGGTGTGGGGAGGATATGGAGGAACAGGGAGGTGAGCAGGATTGGGGTGCTTGATGTGAAATTCCCAATGAATCAATACAGAATTAAAAAAAAAAAGAGTCCATCCACCATCTGCCTTATTGTCCTCTGTGGCCGTGGCTCAGGATCCTAGGTGGGTCCCAGACACTTGGAGTGGGACCCTGGGTACACTGCGTTTCCCACCACAGAGCTAAGTGTGGTAAAGCCACCCCAAGAAGGTACAGTGTGCATGTGTTTAACTGATACGTAAGAGCTTTTTAGAGCGAATTTTCCATTTCCCTTTAGACCACAGTTGACCTAGGGAGACCAGCCATGTAAAGTGGCACTCCAGATAAACGGTGACTTTTCCGTTCTGGCCATTGACTTTTCGGCTCAAGGGGTTTCACTTTGGTTCTTCCCTCCATGGGCTTCCGTTCCTTCACTGCGGTTCTCTGCCAGGCTGGGGTGTCTCTGGGGACACTGTGTGCGCCCCGGCCACGGCTGGAATTACTTCCTGTCAGCTGACGTTTGCAAGCACAGAGTACATGTTTGCCTCAGGAGGACTCTCAGAAGCCCCCGTCAGGCACAGAGTCAGAGCCTGTGCAGAGGGTGGGAATTGGTTTCCTAGCGAGGGCATTTTAAATCAGATCAACTCCTCAAATCAGCTTGGATTAAATTCAAACACGAGATTTTTCACTTAAAAAAAATTTTTTTACTCTAGGGAGTTACAATTTCAGTTGACATTTTTAATGTGTGCTTTTTTTTTCTTTTCTTTTTCTTTCTTTTTTTTCTTTTTAAGCTGATGGGCGCTTCAGGAAGCTCCGATAAGATCAGAAGGCTGAGAACGGCTTTTCCCTTTCTGTGCCTGGTGTGGCTTCCATGGCAGTTCTGAGCCAGAGTTTGAAGATGGTTGCGTTTGGTGAACTTTCCTCCAGAGCCACGGAGCGGCTTAACGCTGGCTCTGAAGCCTGTCTGCATGCAGGCCAGACGGGAGAGTCGGCTGCTTTCCCTCCCGTGACAGGTCTGGATGGGTGCTTGTGTGTGTGTGTGTGTGTGTGTGTGTGTGTGTGTGTGCGCAGTGCGTGCGTGCGTGCATGCGTGCGTGTGTGTGTGTGTGTGAGAGAGAGAGAGAGAGAGAGGGCTCTAGATAGGTGTGTGTGGGCACGCACATGTGTGTGTGGTGTGTGGTGTGTGTGTGAGAGAGAGGGGGGGGGCTCTAGATAGGTGTGTGTGTGTGTGTGTGTGTGTGTGTGTGTGTGTGTGTGTGTGTGAAAGAGAGAGAGGGGGCTCTAGATAGGTGTGTGCGTGTGTGTGGTGTGTGTGGGGCACGTGCATGTGTGTGCTTGTGTGTGTGTGTGTGTGTGAGAGAGAGAGAGGGGCTCTAGATAGGTGCTTGTGTGTACGTGTGTGTGGTGTGTGTGGGCACGCGCATGTGTGTGCTTGTGTGTGTGTGTGGGTGTGTGTGAGAGTGAGAGAGGAGAGAGGAGAGAGAGAGAGAGAGAGAGAGGAGAGGGAGAGGACTCTAGATAGGTGCTCGTGTGTGAGTGTGCATATGAGAGAGAGAGAGAGAGAGAGAGAGAGAGAGAGAGAGAGAGAGAGAGAGAGAGAGAGAGATGAAGGTAAAGGAGACTATGGGGGAGAAGGAGGTGTAAAAGGAGGAGTAACGGAATGCATTTTACAAAAGATTTTTATTTGTGAAACAGCGTTCACAATGCTTGCCTCTAGGTGGAGCCCTCGGTCAAAACACACGGCCGCTCTGCCAGCATGGAGCGGGGTGCCTCTCTCTCCCGAAAATGGCTCTGGGGGGGTGGGGGTGGGGGGTGGGGGTGGGGTTTGGGGGGGCTCCTCTAGGTCTGGACCACTTTTCTTTGGCTGTCCGCTGGTGGGACCCACGACAGGCACCTGTCAGGGACACAGGCTGTTGTCAGCTCAGAGACAGGAGGTCAAGGGCCCTGCAAGTCAAGGTCGGTCTGCAGGGACCTGAACAACGGAGCCAGCGACTGCTCAGCAGCTGGAGCCTTGTGTCAGGGCCCAGAGAGTCCCTGCTGGGGCGGACGCAGCTGATGTTTGCCTTCTACCCTCTCTTCTCCTCTTCCCTCCCCCTCTGTTCCCCCCAGTCCTTCTCTAGTATCCTACAACTTACAAATCATCAACTTATCATTATTACTATTATTATTATCCTTGCTACTGTTAGCCTTCCCACACACGGAAGAAATCACACACCCTTTGGCCCTCTGAGTCTGACTTGCTAATTTATTCAGTACACTGACCTCTGGTGTCTTGAGTTTCACTATCATCCTAACAGCTCACCCTGGTGGGCAGGGGAGGGGCGGAAGTGATTAATTATCCCCCTAGTCATCCCGTTTTAGAATAAGTTGGGGGTCAGCAAGGTAGCTACGGAAGCCGAGAGACCTAAGTTCTATTCCCAGAAGTCCTGTAAAGGTGGAAGAAGAGACTGGACCCCACAGAATTGTCTTGCGGCCTTCACATATGTGTGTGTTAATCCCCCTGGGCGAGAACAAGACCACTACTACAGTTTCTGAGCCACAGTTGAAGCAAGCTTTATTAAATACAGGCCAGGACCATGGATACTGGCCAGGTCCGTACCCGGGATTCTCAGGGTGCCAAATTACGTTAGTCAGGATCTTAGGAAGGCAAACCCCACAAAGCTACATACTTTCCTGCCTTCATCCAATCAGGGGCAAGCGTACATCCCGACGGTCTTCCTGTCTATGTCTTCCCGCCTACGTGTGATCAAGTACACACACACACACAATGTGTAGTTGGGATAACCAAGCTTGTTTACAGAAGGGAAAACATTGGGTTGTTATCTTACATGAACAGCCCCCCAGCATTCCAGGAAGTTATCTGTCCTTGGCGCAAGAGGGGCTTACAGGTTAGAGGCATTTTGTGTTTTATAGATCTAAGCACAGTAATTTAAACTTAAAAGGTAACTTTAGCCATCACACATGCCTGCTCCCCCGCATCATACACACATATAGACACACACACAATAATAATAATGATAATAATAATAGTAATAGATAATAATAATAACAACAACAACAATAATAATAATAATAATAGTTGGTGTCTTTGAACTTCCATGGATACCTGAAGAGTTCTTTTCTTTTTCTCTCCTCTTGACCCTACTTGAACATTCCATGTCCTCTGAAGGTCAGGCATTTCCCCCCGGCAACCTGCTTTCTCCTAGGCTAAAGGCTTCAGATAACCCTGGCTTTACAGTCATTTCTACTAAGCATTTTCTGTGGCAAGCTAGAAACATATACTTTTCCGGGGGGAGGGGCGGGGAAGCAAATCTAAACTGACTAACACTTTCGGTTCAATGGGCAAGACTTTACATTGTCTTCATTTCTCTTGGGTCCATGGAACGTCAACCACATCTTCATCTTACAATAGACACCCGACGATTCCACCATCACGGCTAACACCGTGGCTACAACGTGAAGTCTGATTTCTCTGCTCTCCTTTGCCCTTAGAGCATGTGTCTGAGGCTGCAAGGCTGGACCTGTCTGAGCCCTTTCCGGGCCGTGGGGGCACACACCTTTAACCTCAGCACTTGGGAGATAGAGGCAGGTGGATCTCGGTGAGGTTCAAGGCCAGCCTGGTTTCCATAATGAGTTTCTCAGGCTAGTCAGAGCTACAAGGTGAGCAACTCCATGCCTGCCCCTCCCCCCCCCCAAAAAAAAATATCAAGAGAAGAAAACAGTCAGGAAGAAGGAGAAAGATGCTGAATCCATTGACTTGGTGCAGTATTAATTCATAGTCGGGCAAATATAACTTCTGGGTAGATTTCTAGGTTAGGGTCAGCTGGGTTAATGAAGAGATGCCTATGTAACTTCAAGGGACCAGTTGCTCGGTTTTCATCAATTTGATATAAACCAGAGTCCCCTGGGAAGAGGGCACCTCAACTGAAAAAACTGTCTCTATCACATGGCCTGTGGGGCCATTTTCTTGATTAATGATTGAGGTCCCAGCCCACTGTGGGCGGTGCCGTCCCTAGGCAGGTGGTTCTGGGATTTATAAGAAGAAAACAAGCTGAGCTGGTGTGGTGGTGAATACCTTTGATCCTAGTACTCCAGAAGCAGAGGCAGTCAGATCTCTGTGAGTTTGGGGGCCAGCTAAAGTTACATAGTGAGACCCCTGTCTCAAAAAAAGTTAAAAAAAAAAAAAAAAAGGTAAGTTGAATAAACCCATGGAAAGCAAGCCAGTTAGCAGCATTCCCTCTGTGGCCTCTGCTTGAGTTCCTGCCTTGGGTTCCCTCAGTGGACTGTAAAATCTAGAGTTGGATATTGTTTTGATGGACTTGACCAGGCTGTGTTTTTAGGGGAGGATTGTGGGAGTATTTGGAGCTTTTTTCTTTCTTTCTTTCTTTCCTTCTTCTTCTTTCTTTCTTTCTTTCTTTCTTTCATTTTTCTTTTCTTTTTTTTAAAAAGACTGTTGTATAGTCAGAGTTTAATGAGCTCCGAATGCTGAGAGACGCAGGACATGGAGGCCAGGCTCTCAAAGTTTCAGAGGGAGGTAAAGACTTCATCAGGGCTGTTGGTGTGGTGTTTGGGGTTGAGAATGCGTGGAAGTGAAACCTTTCCTTACTGGGACAATCAGTGTTTATTAGCTGGAGCTGAAGAATCAGCTGTGGTTTGATAAGAGATCCGCATCATTGAGGTCAAAATCTGGGAAGAAAGCATGTCCTTAGGGTCAGCACACGGAGCTGTGGTCCAGAGCATCACAGGCTGACAGTCAGTCTTGGTATTGTTTGGACTCTCCCACGGGGCAGTGGTTGGGGCAGCCCCGAAGGAAGCTGGAGGGCTGAAGGGGTCGTGGAGAGAGGCTGAGGCTGGGCACCATGTGGCAGGATCGCAGTCCCTGAAGGGAGGCAAGAAATCCGTGGGTGAAGACGCACCCTCGGTGGCAGGGGAAATCCCAGCATGCTGGAGATGCCAGGACTGTGCCGTGGACCAAGGACAGGAGCAGGTATGGAGAGGGGCGTTCTTAGCCCAGGAGACAAGCTGTGTGTGTTTCCTATTCTTTATTGTGCAGTTGGGTGTGTAGAATATTACCTTGATTAAGAACCGACATGCCTGACGGTCAGTTGCTGGCAGTGATGAATCCTTTTCGTGGCTGCAGCTGTGGTCAAGCCTTCCCCACGTGGCTCTTCTCTCTTACCTCCTCCTTCCCTTGTGCCTCTCACTTTGTGGTATCTTTCTCCTGCGTACATGTTCCTCGGGCCTATCGTCCAGTTTATCGAGTCTTTCTTCAGTAGTTCCTAACCTGGATTTTACCGTGTGCAGAGTTTCGGTGGCCGTATTACATCTACCTTATTCCTTTTGAAATCTTACTGTTCCGATAGAGCATTTTGTGGCTTTCTTATTGAATGGAAAAAGGAATTAAAAAGGAAGGACATGACTGCTCCTTGGTATGGTGGAGGAGAAAGTTTATTGCAGACAAAAGGGAGAGGGGATAGCCAGAGGCAGGGATGTCTGGGAGATTCCAGAGTGGACGTGACCCTGAGCCGTGTGAGGAGAGGAGGCAGGGGAGAGGGAACCAGGCGCAGCAGCCCCGGGGGCGAAAGGTAAAAAGCGGTGGGTAACCGAAATGTCCAGAGTAGATAGGGAAGAGCCTCTGGGGGAAGGGCAGCCCAGGATCTGGGCTGGAGATTTGGGGGGCAGGGTAGAGGGTGGGGTATGCAGGCCATACCCTGTAACAGGTAGAGAGTGAGGGATGCTGGGAGAACCTGGCAGCCAGGTCCACTCGGGTATGTCAAATAGGCACCTCAGCCATTTGTCCCAGAGCTTGAGATGTAACACTTCAACTATTTTTTTCAACTCATTCATTGTTTACTTTCATTAATTAATTGTTTTCAACTAATGTGTTTTTTTTTTTTTTTTCTGATCACTTGGCCGATCATAGTTTAGGCGCTCTATAGTTTTTCCGTTTTTGATTTTCCTCTTCGCTGTACAGGCTGCTTATCCCACCCAGCACCTTGTTTCCAGTCTTGGTTATATTTTAAAATTATAAGTACTTTTTACCCTACCATTAAATGTGAGAATTCTGTGCGTTTTCTCTATAAAAAACCAAAACCAAAACCAAAACCAAAAGAAACCCTTTACTTCTGTCCATCAGGTCCTTAGGGTGTCACCCGCCAGAATCTTAATTTCAATCCTAATTAACTCTTAATGTCTCAACTCCAGGTCAGGGCAAGCTGTAGTTGTGAATTTGAAAAGAAGCTCTGCATTCCTGTGCTGAGATGGGCGGTGTGTGTGTGTGTGTGTGTGTGTGTGTGCACCTTGACACAGAGTCCAGGTTCTTGGTGTCTAAAACAACAGATTGGACAAGACACAGTGACCATATTCAAGTATCTAGTTACTAAAAGTCTGAGTTTAGCATAGAATACACTGTGCAGAATTGGAAGTTGGCCTGGGTAAGCATGTAGCTCAAGAGCTTTGGTTCTTTGTAGGGTTTTGTGTTTTGTTTTGCTTCTTAATGAATTTCGGTGGAGGGAGGAACTGATCTGAAGGGTCAGCAATGGGGCTGATCCTAACCTGATCGACAGATGAGCTGTGATATAACTTCGGACAATCTGTTCACGCATTGGGCGTAGATCCATAATTTTAAGCATATGTAGGACCCATCCATGCATATGTCATGAGATGTTAAATAGGAATTTTCCCCTGACAGGTCACTTCAAGGACAGTCACACTCACAGAGCTTGTGCCCAGTACCGGTTTAAGTTGGCTTTGTTTAACTCTCTTACCAGGAATTGCCTGACCCCAAATTACCCACGGGAGGGGCCCCACTGGGTGTGCCATACAGGGAAGGAGCAGACGTGGGTTTCCGAGGGGAGCAGTGTGGAGCTGGGCTGTTTTAGCAGCCTGTCTCAGATCAGTGCTAAATTTTTATGTTTTCATACAGTCCGCTTCCCCAGCTTGCCACATCTTGTCTTCAGCTCTGTTGGCCAAAGCTCCAGTTTGTTTAGAGGGCTCCCCCTCACCAGGGGCTGCCCCAGGTATGTGCACAGTGCTAGCTGATGCTCTGTTCTTTCCTTGTGTGTGCCCTTAGGGAATCTCCTCACGATGCCTACTTCACTAAACAGGACGCCCATCCCTAGGCTTCCTGGATCATCTTGTTGCCATTGCTTAAGGTGATACCGTGTTTGTGCTCTAACAAATAAAGCTTGCCTGGAGATCAGAGTGTGGAGCCAGCCACTAGAGGCCAGGCAATGGCGGCACACACTTTTAATTCTAGCACTTGGGATCTCATACCTTTGATCCCAGTACTTGGGAGGCACCTGCCTTTAATCCCAGCACTTGGGAGGAGGAAACAGGAAGTGATATGGCTGAGCAGAGAGAGGAAGTGATACGGTGGGGTGGAGGCAGGGGTTCAGCCCTTTCAGTCTGAGGAGTTGGTGAGGTAAGAGGTGGCTGTGGCTTGCTCCTTTGTCTCTCTGATCTTTCAGCATTTACCCTATAAAACTAATTAATTGGAGGCTTTTTTCTGTCCTGCCTGGTCCCACAGCTATTTTCAAATAATCACTCAGAGGCTTATATTATTTATAAATATTTGGCCGATGGCTCAGGCTTATTACCAACTAGCTCTTACAACTTAAATTAACCCATTTCTATTAATCTATATTTTGCCACGTGGCTGTGGCATTACCAATCTGCTGGCATCTTGCTTTTTTAGTGGCTGGATGGTATCTTCTATGATTCTGCCCTTCTTCATCTCTGTTTTCAGGTTGAATGTACAGCCTAACATTATTCAGCCTCACCATTGGCCAGACAGCTTTATTTATCAACTAATAAGAGCAACATATATTCACAGTGTACAGAAAGACCTCCCACAGTCTACCATGTGCTGTGGGACTCTTCCTGGGGAGATGTAAAAAAATGTCTATGCGTGTGGATAGAGAAGGCACTCCCAGCTTAGAGGAAGGATGAACCAATGGGCTTATTGCAATTATTTACTCACGGGATCAGGGGTAATTAACAGGCAGGAGTCGTACCACCCGGAAGCCCCTGGGTGGCAGGAGGGAAGGTTGACTGGACTCTCGGGTCAGGGGTTTCTGACTCCTCCCCCTTCCTTGTAGGACAGTTCCCAGGCTCACTATTATTACTATAGACCTAGCTATCGGCCGGATCGTTCTGCTTGTTACACTTCAGGTCAAGGTCCTCTATAGGTCATTACCCCTCATTCTTTTTCAAGACAGCGTGGCCTTCAGCTAGCTCCCAGGAAGAGCTGTCCTATGTTCTACCATAAACTAGAGAGACACCCGAAGCCTGGAGCCCCCCCTTCTAACAGCAAGCGATGAGAACTCCAAAAGGTGCAGAAGAAGTCAGGCTAAGGAGGACTTGTGTGTTTGGGGCAAGGGATCGTTGAGTTTAAGGATTCCTGTAACAGTTTTTGACTGACAACACCCCTAAGCTCATTGCTGTTGGGTCGGCTCTACCTGGAAGCCCCCTACCGACAGGAAGCAATGACAGACCCAATCGGCTTGTCCACCGACTGGCCGTGGTGGCACATCCAGGACCACTTTCTGTACCACGGAAGGACTACATTCACATCTGCCCGTCTCTTCAGGATTTAACCACGGCATCGGCGCCGAGAACAAACCCACCAATCTCATCCTTTGAACTTAGCGTGACTGTTGTTCTAAAACCGAGTGTAGGATAGTGTGAGAAAAAGGCCAGTCCTTTATTTCTCACAAGTACAAATAAAATACTGGGTCACCAGAGTCTGTGGTGGACACAGCCACGAAACAAAAGAACAGCAACAAATCCGACATCACGTTCGAGTTATTTTAGAAACCACAGCTTGTTGAAGGACAGACAGCCTCCTGAATAATAACATCATGGTCTGAGGAGGTGGCTTGGCGGTAGGGGACTTGCCTCGGATTACTAAGGCTCTGCGTTTGATTCCGGCACCACAAATAAATCAATGAAAGGAAATTTAAAACTTATATAATGGGAAAAAAATTAACAAATGAAGTATGAGAATGTTACTAAATTTGCCACCGTGTTATGATTCAAAATTCTCAAAATCCCCCAAATTTAGAAGCTGCAAGAATTTTTCAAAAAACTGATAAAATGTACATGAACCATCTGGACCTACATCTTACACAGTGGAGGGGAAAATGGCGTTAAGATCTGGAGTAAGAAAATGTTGCTCACTCTCATCCTATCCTGATAAGGTAACATTTGGGGTTCTGAGGAAAAGGCATTAGGCAATTCCAGAAAAAAAAAAAAAAGAACGTTAAAGGCAAAAGTTAGACAGGAGAAGCACGCTGCTAAAGACCTCTGAGGTGGAACGGCTTTGTATACACGGCGCTAGAGGCGGAGTCTTTAGCGATGATGACAGCAATCATTTCCCTAGAAGGTTACATGGCCAGAGAGCGTGGTCAGGATAATGCTGAGGACCAAGTCACCTGCACCCAGCACCCACGCCCGGGAGCCGCAGAACCATAGGCCAGCAGCGATGCTCATGTTTGCCAGCAGGTGGCGCTCGGCCTCCATGGCGCGACCGGCCGCAGTTCCAAGTCCCCCTCCAAAGGTTCCACTTTGCCAGGACTGCCGCGGGTTAGGAGTCATTCAAGGGTTGCAAGCCGGCGTTGGTTGTCCAGAGACCCCACAGGCGCTCCGAAGGGCCCTGTCGTTCAGATAGCACGATTGCACTTCAGGGTCCAGATCCGCACTGCCACCCGAGCAGAGGATGAGAAGCGGCCGTCACCAGGCTGGGGATAGGGGTGGGGCAGCAACTTGTTCTCGTACTTCCCTCCCGCTTTTGGGGAGGGTGGGGGGACGCACTGCATGCTGGGTTGGTTGGCCGGGTGTGCATACAGGGGCTATAGTAGGCAACAGGTGACTAGTGTTTTGGGCGGCTGCCTTGGCCCCTCGGGGCAGCCTCCAACCCAGGTGTAAGGGCCAAAGCAGGCATCCCCTGGTGTGATCATTAAGGACGAACCCCACCCCGCAGCAGGAAAGAGGCGGGGGCCACCGGAACCGAAGCTGCCCCCCCCTCCACTCACCATGATGGATTTGGTGTCAGGGGCCAGGAAACACCTCAGCCAAGGCAGACTAGCAGGCGCCACCCCAAACACCTGCTTGGCCCAGAAAGTGGCACCAGGTGAGAGGTGCCCCGTGTCCCATCCTTTCCGTGAACTGCGCCTGTACTCCCAGGACCAGCTTCCAGAACCACCCCACCCCATGTCACTTCCAATCTGGGAGCAGAATCTAAGCACCCATAGAATGCATATTTAAATTGGCGGCCCAGTGTCCTCAAGGCTCTGAGAGCTAGTGGAAATACTGGCGATACCCTTTTTTTGGTGCGGGGGAGGGACTTCTCTTGCGCCTTCCCTCTCAGAGCGCAGTCAAGGGTAAAGAGCACTTAATAGCCATGGGGCTGGGAAAGCAGCTGGCCCAGGCAGGCTTGGGTAAGCCACAGGTGGAGGAAGAGAGGGAGGGGCAGGGCTGGGTGTTCCTGGCCAGGTTTGACAGCTAAATTCCCAGAGGCAAACTGTGCCGGTCAAGGCCCTTTTATTCCCTTCTAAATCTGGATCTTGCTCCAAGCGTCTCTGCACACCCAGACACTAGGCTCTCTAGACTGTACACTTTCTAGACTGTCCGTGACCTAACTCAAGGGAATGGCCTCCCTGTCCCAATGCACAGGCACCGCTGCTAGGTGTGTGAGTTCTCAGTCCCCACCATCCCTACCAGCAGCAACAATGTTTTGGTTTGCTGAGCTGGCATGGAACACATACGTGATAAAGACGGGGAGAGAGAGAGGGAACAGAAGATGGGGCCCAGGCAAGCACAAGCCATCTCAAAAATCATTCAGAATCCTGGTATTGACGTCAGACACATTTTATTATAATCTTAATACAGTCTACATAAATTTGAACTGGTATTTATTTGGGTTCAGTTATAACATAGCATCATAAAAAAAATCAAAGCACTGGTTGTCTGAAATAAAGCAAGCGATTGACATTCAATAAACACACTTGATTTATTTTTGTATAAAAGGGTTAAGTTTACAACTAAACTTTTATAAAAAGTTTAGCATAAGTACGTCATTACATTTTTATGCAGAAATAGGTATTTCTGCCACTATACAAGAAAACTCTAATTAGAGAGTTCACAAGGCTTCACTCAATATATATATATATATTTATATATAAATATATACACAGCATTCAGTAGGCTCGCGTCAAAAAAGGCCATTTCTGACCAAAGACTTCATTTAAGTAACCGAATACTGGGTCCTTCGGGTAGTCACGCTCCACCTTTGGAAAAAGGCAAAGTCTGCTTAGATTGGGCAATTCCTTGTGATTTTTAACGTTTTTCGCTCCCCATGGTGGGAATAGTATATAAAGAAAACCTTCCAACTGTAGAAAGGGCATTGAAAGTCTCTCATAAATAACGGTATCACAGTCCAGGCTGGAGAGCTCCTGGGGAAGATGATCACTCTCAGTTTTCCTTCCGTCGCTCTTTTTAAAAAGGTCCATTCAACTTGTTCTCCTGGTGAAATGGTTGAAAATAAACAAAAAAAGTTCAGCGACTTAAAAAGATCCTGTAGACTTCTTGTTGTGCAAAAGAAAAAGAGAAAGTAAAAAAAAAAAAGTCCCCAGACGTCTGCAAAGACTGGGGGAGAAAAGCAGCTTGGAGAGTAACCTAAGGGCAGAGGCGGGCAGCCTGGCGCCGGGCAAGCCACAGTGTGAGCATTTAAACCAAACCCTGGCGTCCAGATGCGGCACACATACCCGGCCTCCCCAGCACAAATTAAACATGAAAATAGCAGAGACTCGAGGGGAAAACTTCCCAAACCCAGTCTCCTATTTGGACCTCTAACAGCCTGCTCACAGGCGCCAGGGTGCTTCTTGTAACAATTATTTGATTGAAAACAGCCCTTTAGTTAACAGATAGGGAAAATCTGGATCCCAGAGCACAGGGGGTAAAGGCTCAGGGTAGCAGCAATCCTCGGCTAGCTCAAGAAATCTCAGACGCTTGCCGTTTGGGGGGAATCACTATAGAATTTGTGGAGATAAGATTAATTACAGCCGAGGTTCGTACCTCACAGTACCACCTCTGGGCTCAGAAAGCCAGTATAACACTTTACCTGCCATAACTTCCTGGCATTTTTCTTTCTTTTCTTTTCTTTCTTTTTTTTTTAAAGGCAAATGTTCTGTAATCCCGGGTAACCACACAGCTACAAGCCCCTTCATGCCTATCTGGTAAGACAGGAGGCACCCATAACAGAGCGAGGGAAGCATGCATTTACCAAATCAAACACTGTACAGACACACACAAGCACATTACCAAAACGCGCACACAGGAGGTGGCTCCCCGCAAACACTCACCATGTATTCAGCCACAGAGTACTTTGCTATCATTCGACATAAGCTCAGAAGGGAATTCAGATGCCTGGAGAGAAAGAAGATAAAAGGCAGGGATATTAGACAATCTTAGAAGAGGCTAGCCTCCCTCCTCCTTTTACGAAAGTGCCAACAAGTCCCATTAAACAGGTTCACGCTACCATGCAGAGACGCAACCCACACAGAAGAACTTAAGTAGCGATTCCGCAGGAGGCTCAATGTACAGTTTTCTTAAAAAAATAAAGTTAATGAGCCCGTCTCCACAATGGGCTTTTAAAAAGAGTGACAGGTCGGGCGACCGGGAGTTTACGGGCAGGGAGGGGAGTACTGGGCGGGCGAGCGAGTCTCACCTGCAAGGACAGAATGCTGATGTCCGTGTTGAGGGTGGTCAGCGGCGTCCTGGACGCCTGGTTCTGCCCAGGTCTCTGGTGGTGCAGGCTGACAATCGTGGGGTGAGAGTCCAGGGCGATCTGCAGGTCCAGGATGTAATCGATGACGTGCTGCAGGATTTCCATCTTGGTCACCTTCTTGTTCTGCGGGATGCTGGGCACCAGTTCCTTGAGCTTGGAGTAGCAGTCGTTCATGTTGTAGAGCAGACTCATCGGGTCGTCTACCGGGGTCTTGCTCCGGGAGATGCCCAAGCCGTGGTCCGACAGGCTGTTTTTTCCTAACGGACCTCACCGGACTGAAGGCTTTCATGCTGCTCGGAGGAGGAGAGGCCGGGGAAAAGGGAGCCGCCGCAGGGGGTTGGGGGGGCTGAGCTGGCTGCGCGGCACCTGGCTCGGCTCAGAATGAAGCGGGAGCCGGGGCGGGGCGGCTTTTATGCGCGCTCGCCCGGGCCACTCGATCGGGCATCGCTCAGCCGCCATTGGTGGAAGCGGCCCCGTCCATCATGCCGAGGGAGTGCTCCCATTGGTGAGCGCGAGCGCTCGGTCCTTCCGCGTTTGCAGCCAATGCCCGTGGGGTGGGAGGAGCGGGCGCGAGCCCAGCTGGGGTGGTAAATCGAGTACAGTGTGCGCAGGGAGCCCCGGGGGGCCCGGGTGTGCAAGTGTGCCCGCTTGATTCCAATCCCCGGAGTGGTTAGGACCCTCCACCCCTGGAGGTGTCCCCGGTGCGAGCCATCCCCCGGCCCCGGGGCTGCCAGCAGCCCTAAGGTCTCCGCTCCGCCGAGGGGAACTCATAGGTCGCTAGCGTCAGGGAAGACGGCGACCTTTGCAGAGAGGAAAAGAAGCGCGCCGTTAGGGAGTCACGTTTGTAGAGTGAGTTCCTTCTTTTAAGATGAAGAAAGCTGTGTTTGGGGGGGGAACTACCCACGTCCACATTCAGGACAGGTTTAGCCTGGGGTTTTGCAACTTGGAGCAACGCGGGAGGCCTGCTCGGAAACTCCAGTGACAGAGGAGTTGGAGCGAACACCGTGCGGTCTCCCTCAGACCGCAGAGGAGCCCCCGGGGGACCCGGCACGTTCAGGATTCTCCCCCTCTCCGCCCCTCCAAGAATGAGGCCAGGGTTTAGTATAATGACTCCATTAGTCAGAGGTCATTAGTAGGGTTTGCACACTGGAACTACATTTACATACACTGCCCTTGGTCTGTGCCCTTCAGTGTAGGTGGCAAAGTGATGCGATTAATTATGCACAAATTGTGATTTCTGGTGTCACATTCCAGCACTTACAGCTCTTGGGAAGCTCTTTGTCAGGTAGGTGGTCCCAGCTATTGACTGACAGCTTATCGCTGTTTTTTAAAGGAAATTCTGTTACGTCTGAGGTTAGGAATCTGTCGGCACCCTTTTCTGGATGCAGCTACGTTTTAGAAAGTTTGGAGCCCTTGACTCAAGTACTTCAGTTCAGACTGAATTCTCGCTTTGCAGAAGACTACCGTGTATTAGAGGAAAAATATTTCTGTAAACAAAAAAATTAAAAAACCCAGAAAGGGTAAACTGGTAGTATCATGTTGACTTCTTTTTTTCTCTTTTTTGTCTCCATCCACCACATCCTCTGAATACGAGAAAGAGGAAGAAGGCAGAATCCGGGCAGAGCTCCGTAGTCGGGGGGGGGGGGGGACGGGACGGGACGGGACAGTATTTTCCCTTCAATTAATGATTAATTCCTCAGCTGGTGGGCCAGGCAATCTCTGACCTCCACGTGACAGCCATGTGCCCCCAGGGCTTCTCTCGAGGGAGGCAGAGTCCCGTGGTGGCTTGGAGGTGGTCAGATCCGGCCACCTCAGTGTGGAGGCTGCAGAGGGGACGCTGCCCTGCAGGGAAATCTGCGCAAGTCCTGCAGCAGTGCCTGCCCGCAGCTCCGCGACAGCGTTCGCTTGACGGGCGGCTCGCCTGCCTCGGTTATTAAGCCTGGAAGGGATTTGCTATCTGAGCCCCCCACCCCCCCCCACACACACAGTTCGAGCCTCTTGATGTACTCTGTGTGCATGTGTTTCAGTCACATACGTGCCACCGCGGAACAGATTTTGTTTTGACACTTTTGGTTCATGATGTTATACTCTGAGTATTTTACAATAATAGCCAATGTAAACAAACATCTCTGGGATTCTCAAATTATTACTTATGATTCTTGGACATTGCATCTCCTGCGGTACTGACGCATTCTTAGCTTTTTCCAAGGACACCGTATGTTAGCGCCCGTGCCAGCCTCATTATCCCCACAGAAAAGGCCCTGGGCTGGATGATAATGAGCGCTGTGCAGCTTCGCTCGACACACTGGCAGCTACAACGCATGAGCGCCTTCTCCCAAGACCATTCTTGTACCCTGATATAGTAAAATTGCTAAATATGGTGAAAGTTCTCTGGCGTTTCTTTCTCTGGCTGCCATGCCAGAGTCCAGTCTGCCGGGCTGCGCTGAATCCGATTCTGTTGGCACACTACCCAGTTTTTTTTTTGCATTCATTTAAAGATCATTTTTAAGGGGATTGTGAAACTGTATAAGTCAATGACTGAGAAAAGGCCGGAGTTACTAGTTTAAGTCTGTCACAGCAAGCCCGGGCTGACATTTCTTAAAATTATGTTTGGAGGCCAGGAATGGGATGGGAGCCTTTTTTTTTTTTTGCGGGGGGGGGGGGAGGGCGGCTTATAATGGCATATAAAAATGTGCCAATTGGTATGGATGTGGATTTTCATCTGAGAGCCCCGAAGTTCAAATGGTCCCAGCTGCAGGACGCGCCCAGCTGCAGCAAGGGCGGGATCCGTGGGTGGTGGGAAGGTGTGAAGGGCTTCCGCCGGCGGGGCGCTGGGGAGGGGGTGGAAATATTGGCCACCCCAGCTACCCACTGGGTCGCCCCCCACTTAAAGCGACAGACCCGCTCTGGAGTTCCCTGAGCCCTGCTACCAGGCACACCCCCCTTCCCGGATCCCCCACCGTGTCCAGGCCACGCGCGGTAATCAGAAGCAGGTCCCGGCGCAGCCCCCTTTGGCTACCATCCCCGCGTGATGCCACGGGGAGGCGAAGGTGGAGGGGGGGCGCGCGCGCGGGAGGAGCCGGCGCGGCGGGGGCGAGCCTCGAGGTCCCCTCTCTTGCACATCTGGCGCAATTGGGAGCTCTCGCCTTTCTTCCCCTCGGTTTTGTTCTCACAGCTGTGTCCATTCCGCCCGTGACCCCCCGAGTGATCCCTGACAGGTGATGAATTGGCAGCGGCGGCGGCGGCGGCGGCGGCGCGCGGGCCAGGCCGCGGCGGGGCCGGAGCCGCAGCCCCGGAGCAGACTCTCTGGCGCCAGGCGCGTGACGCCGCCCATTCACGCCGCCCTGCAGCCTTGTCCTCGCGGCGCCGCTCAGGCGGCTGCCATGGCAACCGCGCCGTCACTCAGCGCGCGCGCCCCAGCTGATCAATGCCTGCAAGGCCCGGCGGTCCCAGGCTCGCCCTGACCGGGCCGTCAGCCTGCGCGCACCTGCAGCCTCTGCACGTCTTAAGTTTCGAGTGATTTTTTTTTTTTTTTTGGGGGGGGGGGGAGGAGGAAGGAGGACCGAGAAGAAAAGAACAGGAGAAAGAGGGTGGGTGGATGTGTGTGTGTGTGTGTGTGGGGGGGGGTAGAAGATCGAGGGAAAAAAAAAATAAAGCCAGCAGAGGGAGAAGAAAGAAATCTTCCTTCGCAAGAGGGGGCGTTAATGTGGCTTAGACGTTGCCAAAGCAAAAAAGGTTTTGCTTTATTTCATTTGTTTTTGCAACAGAGGCGTGGGGCTCTGGCGGGAGGGTAGGAGTGGATGCGAAGGAGGTCGCTGTCTGATCTCGGGGCAAGATTTATTTATTCCTCTGAATCTCCTTGGTCCTTGCCTAGATAGATGGCTTTGACTGGGAAAAAAAAATTGAAGGACCCCTATCCGCGATCCCACACCCCCCCCCCCCCCCATCACACACACACATGCACCTCGTTCTACTGACATTCTCTTAGGAATCCTTAGTGGTTATGCAAAAGGCATCAGGCTTTTCCAGGACAGCCCCACCCCCACCCTGAGATGGTAGGATGCCCCGCGCTGCCTGCGGTCCTGGGCTCCTCGGAGCCTCAGCGTGCGGCTCCCGCATCTGCGTGCTCATTTCCGCTACAAAAGCCGGGGCGGGCGGGGGCGGGGGAGCCTCTTCCTAGTGCTGAGTTTTCGCCTGACACCACCAAGAGTCCAGAAACTTGTAAGTCAGCCTGGAGACTCAGACACCTCCCCCCGGGTTTATCTCCAGGGAAAGATCCCTTTTAGGAACCAGATGCCAACGTTTCCGGATAGTTTATGGCACCCGGATCCCTCAAGGGTGCTCATCCACGGCTGAGAGTGTTAGCGGCAGTTACTAATCCCCTGTCCTGCAGAAAAGATCCCAAATACAATCGTCCTCTGCTGGCCCTAAAACCCAAGGGTGAGGGCGGGAGTGCTGGGGATTTGGGGGAGGGGGTTGGGGCGCGCAACCCGCCGGGGCTGTTATCTGGCTTATCCGGGTTTGTAGTGGTTTTCGAGGAAACAGCATCTGGGTTGCATAAGGATTCGAGTTTTTGCTTTACGTGTTTATTTAATACCTTGGCAAGAGGGAGCCCTTATCCTGCAACCAGATAAACCTAATTTGGGTTTAAAAAGGCCTTAGATGAGGGGCGCTAGGACTGAAGGAAAATGAGCAAGACTACGAAAAGCAAACAAGAGGATGTTTATTTTTCTCTTTGAGTTTTTTTTTTTTTTTTTTTTTTTTTTTGAAAACTCGCCTAACCTCTTACACTTCGTGTCTCACACAGCTAATAAATGGCATTAGCGAAGCGCCACTGCTACTACAATGGCTTAGCCTTAAATCGGCCCGCCCTCGCCCGGCCACAATTCCGGCCATAACTCCTTCTAGGATTCCGGCACGGTCCTGTTTACCTGCCTATCTCGAGCCTCAGGTTTAAAAAATAAAATAAAATAAAAAGTAAAGTGCCAAATCCAATTGCTTGCCACCTTCTGATCCCCTTTTAGAGGATCACTTTCCAGCCAGGTTCAAAGAAAGCTTGGGAAGTTTGGTGGGGAGGGTCCGATTTAACTACGGAGCGCCACAAATATTTTGTTACCAATACTGTGAAGTGCTCCGATTTGCGGTCACATTTGGCATTCACAAAGGATTTTCCTGGGACTTTTTTATTCCGGTCACCAAATTAAAAAAAAAAAAAAAGAAAAAGAAAATTAACTGGACCGAGCGATACGGTCTTGGAAAACAATCTCTGGCCGCCTGCGAACTGGCGAGAGCTGGGGGCTGGCGTCGCCGAGTCTGCGCGCCACCGGGAGGCGCGAGCCGCGGGTCGGGCCACCACGGGAGCCGGGGTCACCGCGGGGACCCCAGGCCGCAGCCCGCTGGGCGCACCCCCCCCCCCCGCCCCCAGCCCGCCGCGCCAAGACGAGCGCAGCGCCCCGGCCACCCGCGTCTGCCCACTGGCGTCCGTGGGAACCCGCAAGCAGCCTGCAACAAGGGCGGGCTTGTCCGGAATCAAACTGCTTCTTAATATTATAATACCGCACCAAAAGCAAAACCTGGCCCGGCCTGGGAGTCCCTAACAAGAAACACATTGTGCGCGCTTCCCCCCCCGCCCCTCCCCCGCCCTCCCCTCCCCGCCTCGGTTGGCTCCAGCCTCGTTTGCACGCCGGCCAGCCTCAGTCAGCCAAGTCCACCACTGCAGTCTACCCGAGCCCGCAGCCCGCACCACGTGCGCCTGGGGCACCCCTGCCGCGCCCCCGGCGGGGTGGGGCCCCGAGAGCTCCGTGGGCGCGCCCGCAGCTCGGGTGCGCTTGCCTTTTGCGAGCTCTGCGGGCCACTGGGCTCATCATCCCTCTAGGCGGTCATTGGTGGGGCGAATCCAGGTGGGAAAACTTTGTTTTAAAAAAGAGTTTGACGCCCCCCTCCCGCCTCCCCTCAATTTTTAGGCATTCTTTCCAGAGACTCCCCCCTCCTCCCGTGGTCATTCACAGACTTCTCTACAGTTAAAGGGAAAACACCCTTGGAGGGTCTTGCGACCCCTCCCCTCACCACGTGCCAATCATTGCCCCCCCCCCGCTCCCCCCCCCCCCCCGCACGTGTCTCTGTGCCTTGCTCTGTGAGAAAAGGGCAGGACCTGGGGCCACATCCTCAGAAGGTGACTGCGGTGGACTAAGAAAGCCGGGACCTCTCAGGGCTTGTCAGCTGGACCCAGGGATTTGGGTGGGTCCGACTGCTGGAGTCCCTAAGTCAATCCTGTTGTCATCTTGGCACCGTGGCACTGGGCGTGGCCTGTTGATATGTGGACATTGCCCTTCAGCAGAAGCCTGGAGGAAAGGCGCCTGAATTAGGCCATACGTGCGTTTTTTATTTTTATTATTTGTATTTTATATTTTAATTTTCTTTTGAGAACTTCTTAAATGGAGCATGGTATCTGCGTTACTCTCACCCTTCCCTCCGTGGAGGAACACTGCTCAAACTCCAGTGTTCCTCTCCAAGTACATGGTCTCTTTGTTAATTAGTGCGCACGCGCACACACACACACACACACACACACACACACACACACACACACACACACACACACATACACGAACACACACACACAGCCCACTGAGTCCATGTAGCTTTGCTCATATGTACATGCATCCAGGGTTGACCGTTTGGGATTGGACACCCGATGGGCGAGCTTGTCCCTGGGGAAACCAACTCATTCTCACTCAGCAGCCATTGACCACCTGCAGCTTTTCATCTAGGGGTGGGATCATGTAGCATTTCCTCTGTCCATGCGACATGTGCTTGTGTCACCATGCCAGTCTTATTCCGGGAACCATATTGAAGAGCTTTCATGGGTGCGTTTTCCATGTCGCGCCTAGGGGACAGTGTTAAGCAACATCAGCCGAGGACGCCTGTTAAAACCTTCCCTCTTCCACGGTTTTCGGAGCATTGGGTATAGATAGGGTTGCCTTGCAGAGATGTATAGTGGGTTTCAGCATTCTGCAGTTGTTTATTCTCTGTGTTTGGACCGGCTGTGGATCTCAGTCACAGTGTCCATCTGTTGCAAAAAGAGGCTTTTTTGATGAGGTAAGAACTACACTCACCCGTGTAAGTACTTGTTAGAAAGCTTCTTGTCTTAGCAAAATGAGAGCGATAGGTTCTTCTCTAGAGTCTATGACTTCTCCGGCCATGGGTCCTTGGCTAGGTTTTCAGTACCAGATGTGAATTCCCTCCTATTAAATAGATGTTAAGTCTGATTAGATGGCTGTTGGTGACCTCCATGATAAAAGTGCCATTATTTCACTGTTGGGGATATATGGCTAGCTCAATCATGGTGTAGTTCATGGGCTGCTCTTCCTTGGTAACTTGCGTGGTACCTTCCAATACCCTAAGAGCCAATCCTCATGAAGGAGGCTTCCAGGTCAGTTCTGGCTCAAGTCCTTCAAGTCCTATGTCCAAACTGTGTGTTTTCTTCAGCCGTAGTCTTGCCTGGGAGGAAGCCAAGGGCAGTGGCAATAGCCCATTGCTTTAGGAGACGACCTCTTTATTCTTCTGACCGGCAACTCACGCCTGGCACTGGGGTTTTGTTAGATAGTGCTTGGCTCTTGGGGGACAACCTCACCCCCTGTGGTGTAACTCCATTAAAAGCACGCATTAAAATAGGCATATGCATATTATATATATATTATATATATTTAAGTGAGCTCGAGGGAGACCAGATGCCTGATGGCTGGCACTCAAGAGCCTTGAGTTCCCAGAGAGTGGGTGTGGGCACCCTTAGGTGGTAGCTGTTGGCAGCTGCCACAAGATGTCTTTGGTGATGCCGCCAGGCTGCTCCTGAGAAAACAAGCAGTATTGCGGGAGGGCAAACCCCTCACAGTGAAGCATGGCTGGCTGGTCCTTTTAGTTGATGCTGTCATTGATTGCACCCGCAGCCAGGGAAGAGCGACCTAGCTGAGGCTGCGGCCCACCCCTCCCTCCCCAGTTCACACTTCTCTCTTTCCTTTCCCTCCCTCTCTCCCTCTTCCCTTCCCTTGAGGTCTCAACAGGTTTCATGGCCTTGAGCGATCCCCCTGCCGCAGCCTCCTGAGCAGCTTGGACAGTGGGTATGGCCATCTCTCCGTTTGGCCCTGGGCTTCTCTACTCTGGTTTCACGTCCACATGTCTACCACCCAGCACGTACCCTGTGGCAGTGTATGCTCAGGTGAGTCGTGTTGGGTCCCAGGGTTCTCTCTTAGAGTGCCAGGCCTCTCCACGTGTTGCTCCATTGAACCTTCCTGCTCAGAGGCATGGCCAAGGGCCAGTGCCAGCTCTCCTGTCCCAGGCAGTATAGACTGGAGGGAAGTCCAGTTTCCCAGGAGTCCCAGGCCATGCCTTTCTGACTTCAAAGAATGGGAACTAAGCCTTTCTACTGAGTGGCCCAAACTTCCTGGAAATGCTCCACATCTACTTAATTCTTTGAGAGAAGTGCTAGCTTTAACAAAGGACGACGTATTTACCACAAATGCTTCACGATCCCTCAGAAATGCCACATGCTTAACCATCCTCACTGTGTCTTGAGGAGTTCTCCAATGCTGTGTCCTGGTGATTGCCCATGGGCAGTGGTTTTTAACTTTGGGAGTGGGGGGTGCCTTGAACAACCCTTTCACAGAATCGCCTATCAGATACCCTACATATGAGATATTTACATTATGATTCATAACAGAAGCAAAATTACTGTCATGGAATAGCAATGAAATAATTTTATGGTGGAGGGGGGTCAGTCACCACAACATGAGAAGCTATATTAAAGGGTCACAGCGTAAGGAAGCTTGAGAACCTCTGCCCTTGGGGAGGAAAGGCCAGACTCTCTGTGAGGTTTAGAGGAAAGATGGCCTGCTGTGCCCTGAATCCTGGCTACAGAGAGGGGAGCCCAGACTGTTAATGTCAGCAGTCTGGTCACCCAGTGCAGCACCATGGCAGGTGGATGTGACCCTGGGAAGGTACACTCTTCTGACTGCTTTACATTCTTTTGTCGTATTTGAGACGGAAGATTGTAGCAGTTTCCTGTGATTTTGAATGTTCTATGCACCTTGCATACAATGCCTGAGAGGGCGTATTACTCAGTTGCACGGGACTGCCACCGAGAGCTTTAAGTTTGAGATGGACATGGAATAATTGTTTTTAGAGTGAGTGTGCTTCCACACTTACCTGTAAAATCTAATGGACTCAGCGATTGAACATATGATTGAAAGCAGAGGTTCTTATAGGAGTTGGAGGGATGGCTCAGCCCTGAAGAGCACTTAAAAGTCTTTCCGCAACCCCTCCTGGCTTCTGTGGGCACCATATACACATATACACCCTCGCTCTCTTTTAAAAAGAAGTCCTTGGGAGAGATCTTGCCTTTATTTAAACTAAGCTCTGACCTGTGAATAGAAATTCTACTTTGGAGTTCTCTAAGACCAAAAAGGCCAGAAATGAACTCTGGGGAACTTAGTGTAAAAATCCTGAATTCTCAAGTCCTTCATAGACTTATTCACAGTGTTCTCATCCCTTTGCCTAAACTAGCTCACTCTATCTATTACAGGTTGGTTTCTGGATGCTCCCCGATGGAGGTCTCTATTTTGCTTGGAACAGGGGACTCCAGATGCCTCCCAGGTAACGTCTGCTGATGTGTGTGGCTGGCTCAGGCATTGCTGAACATGCAGGAGACTCTGTTGAAAGGGAGTAAAATAGCTGGGCTGTTGTGGGAGCCCATTTTTAGGTTTCCAAGTGGCTTTACCCAGCAGGTCTGCATAAAGAGGATGATTGGACCACGGGCCTGAGTGCAGGTGTCTGAGATGGTCTGCACTTGGCTGTGCTGGGGGAGGTCTTTTGCGCCACTTTGGCATTCCTTTAAATACCTTAGGGCAGAGACAATCAGGGCTGATGGATTAGGATCTAGGCCCTCTCGTATCCTGTATTTTTTATCTTTTTCTCTCCCTTCTATATCCTTCTAACTAGTATTTCCTGCTGCTTCTACTCAAGAGTACTCTGGGGAAATGTGGGGGTGAGGGATGGCCCCCCACAGGCTGTGGTGGTACACGACTTTAATCCCAGCACTCAGGAGGCAGAGGCAGGCAAAGCTCTATGAGTTCCAGGACAGCTGGGTCTACAAGGTGAGTTCCAGGACAGCCAGGGCTCCATAGAGAAACCCCGTCTCAAGAAACAGAGAGAGAGAGAGAGAGAGAGAGAGAGAGAGAGAGAGAGAGAGAGAGAGAGAGAACTTACCAGCATCCAAGTTAGCTAAGACAATGCCAGCTGCTGTACCGAGTCAGCCCAGAATTCCCCACATACCGGAGTTTCCCTAAGATGAATGCTACCGAATGGCATATAGCCATATTGGAGCCATGACTTAGGGGCTGCAGCATTGCTTTATAAGGTGTCTACCATATTCTCTATAGGGCTCCTGGGGTGTTTGCATCTGATTTCATAGACCTGAAGACAGAGCAGGGCTTGGGGACCCACACTGGGGAAGTGAGATGGAGAAGGCTCCTAATCCTGGGCACCGTTAATCCTGAGCAGTTAGTTCTTCACTGTGCCTCCCGGGTGGTCAGGTGGATGTCCCCCGGCCTCCCCTCACTAGGTTCCCAAAGAACTCTCCCTTCTTCCAGTGTGGCAACCAGAGATGTCTCCTCACGTGACCAGAAGCCATTGGTGCAGTTGAGAACCAGAACTCAGTCTTATGGCCACACTCGATTGCAGTGGAGGCTGAGAAACCTTGACTCCAGTCTCCTAGGAAAGAGAAAAAGTACCTGAGGGGCTGCTGGCCAGTCTCGTTCACAATGACCTGCTGCTGCTGCTGCTGCTGCTGCGATACCCATGCCTGTTACAGAGCCAGAGAGAGAGAGAGAGAGAGGAAGTGAGAATATGATTGATGGGATGTTAGATCTCGGTACAGTGACAAGGACAGAGAACCGCATTCCTGTTCTGTGGCATCTACTGTCCGTGAGTGGATAAATGGCGGAGACGATGTCACAGCAAAGGAGGAGACAGCCATGTTTAGAGTCTACTTTGGAGTCTACAACCCTTTTAAAGGTAAGGCTGTTCTTCTGCCAGCCTCAGTGGGAATGCATAAGGTCAGTGGCAGTGTCAAGGGAGGGGGGCTTTTATGTCTTTGTCTTCCCTGAGGACCCTTGCATCACGCTGCCAGCCTAATGGTGCTGGAGAGAACGGGAAAGGTAAACATGTGGTATGTGGGTGTGTTCCCAGAGAGGAGCTGTCACCTGGAAGCACAATGAAAGGATAACCCCGTTGGCATTGGCAGCCTGTTGGGTGATCATGTAATTAGTCCTGGGTGAAGGCAAGAGGAAACATGTCAGAAGCTGTTGTCATAGTCCTTTTATGAACGTTTACATGAGTTAATGAATACTCAAACATCTGTTGAGAACACATCAGTAGTAAAACAACAAAGTAGAGCACAAAGATGGAAGTCAGTGGGCTTAAGAGGCGTCAGTTCTCACCTCAGGGTGAGAAGAGGGCTTTTTGAACATAGAAATTGCAGCTAGTGTGACTGATGGCACTAGGGAAATGGAGCTCAGAGATGCTCACTCATCCACCCACTCATCTATCCATTCACTCATCCATCTACCCATCGGCCCCTACCCTTCTCTCATCCCCATCCATCCATTCATTCAGCCACCATCCGTTAATTTATCCATTTACCTACCCACCCACCTGTGGTGGTATTGTGTTCCCCGAAATATTGTGCAACCCTAATAAACTTATCTGGGCTCAGAGACAGAACAGCCACAATATGAAACATAGAGGATAGGCAGTGGTAGCACACGCCTTTAATCCTAGCATTCCAGAGGCAGAAATCCATGTGTTCAAGGATACAGCCAAGCATGGTGACTCACGCCTTTAATCCCAGAAAGCCTTTAATCCCAGGGAGTGGTGGTAGAAAGCAGAAAGGTATATAAGGCGTGAGGACCAGAAACTCGAAGTATTTTGGCTGGTTAAGCATTCAGGCTTTTGAGCAGCAGTTCAGCTGAGATCCATTCTGAATGAGGACTCAGAGGTTTCCAGTCTGAGGAAACAGGATCAGCTGAAGAACTGGCAAGGTGAGGTAGCTGTGGCTTGTTCTGCTTCTCTGATCTTCCAGCATTCACCCCAATAACTGGCCTCAGGTTTGATTTTATTAATAAGACCTTCTAAGATTCCTGCTACACCCACCCATTCACTCATCTATTCATTCACCCATCCATCTATCTATTCATTTGTTCCTCTCTCTCACGTTCTCTTCCTCCCTCTCTCAACCTCCCCATCCATCCATTCATCATCCATCCATTCTTCCCATCCATTCACTCATCCATCCATTCATCATCCATCCATCCATCATCCATCTACCTAACCATCTATTCATCCATCCATCTATCCATCCATCCAACCATTCATCATCTATCCATCTATCATCCATCCATCCACCATCCATCTATCCATCCAAAAATCTATCCATCCATCATCCATCTATCCAACCATCCATCCACCCACCCACCCACCCACCCACCCACCCATGTATTCAGTAAGCACTGAATACCTACTATATGCCAGGAAACTTTCCTAGCTTATGAAATATCAGTGAACAGAACTGACAAAAATCTGTCACCATCCAGGTCTTCCATTCCTGTGAGGTGGGAGAAAGTAAGCACACTGGAGAATAAATGAGCAGTTTACTGCGAGATAGATGGAGCTATGACAACCAGGCAGGGACTGGGAATGAAAAGCATTTTGGATAAAGTGGCCCTGGGAGACTCCATTGAGAAGGTGACACTTGAGCAGAGGTTTGAAGAAAGCAAGGTGTAAGTATGACAGGATCTGAGGAATAGCATTCTGGGAGAGAGAACAGCCAACATAGAAGGTCCAAGGTATTTGTGCACAGACACTCGTGGTATATGGAGGTGGCTACTGTGTCAGGGATACAGTGAGTCCTAGAGGGGTTTAAGTAAAATTTATTGTAAGCACTATTTATTTTAAATGTAATTCTCAAAGTACAGAGGGGTGGAAGTAGAATTTGTGGTCCTCCTGCCTCAGCTGCCTGTGTGTTGAGAATATAGTTGTGTACAACTATGCCCAGCTTCATTTTAGTTATTTTAAACCACGTATTTCAATGGCATCATGTGTAGTCACACCCCTCTACCACCATCGCCACAACCACCTCTCACAGCTTTCTGCCTTTTCCAAGTGAAACTCTGAACTCAGTAGGCAAACATCCTGTTTTCCCCCACACTGGCCTTGGTGGCTGCTGCCCTTCTTGGTCTCCATGGATCTGACCATTCTAGCTACTTAAGTAGAGTCCTACCATTTTTGCCCTTTTGTGGCAGACCTGGGGTTCCGCCTAAGCTGAGTGTGAGTGTGGGCAGGATCCAGATCTTGAGTCATGGCAGTAGGTCCTTAACTTCCTAGAGCCAGCAGGGCGGTGGTGGCGCACACCTTTAATCCCAGCACTCAGGAGGCAGAGGTAGGCAGATCTCTGTGAGTTCGAGGCCAGCCTGGTCTACAGAGCGAGATCCAGGAAAGGCGCAAAGCTACACAGAGAAACCCTGTCTCGAAAAACCAAAAAAACAAAACAAAACAAAAAAAACCAAAACAACAACAACAAAAAACTTCCTGGAGCCATGTGAGGATAGATGGGCTCACACCTCGAAACTCAGAAGTCTTGACATGGTGAGATGGCAAATACGTATTTCCTCAGAACCCTCTAAACACCGTGCTCAGGCAGCCAGGCCTGCTCCATTGGCTGTGAGGAAACCAGAACACTTGCTGCCCTCTGTGGAATGTACGTGTAATCTCCCAGTAACAAGGCTAAGAAATTTAGATGACTTCTCTTTATGCAATCAGCAGGTATGTGACATTAATGTTCAAAGTGCCTGGAGTTGCCCAGATGCCTCCCTAGACAAGTTTTGGGTTCTTTCCCTGCCTGCCTTTCAGGCATATCACCCCAGTCTCATTGGAGGGGGAGGCACGAGTCTATTTTTCTTGGCTGTTGGAGTCCATACCCGCCAAGGGCTGGTCTCAGTGATCTGGTTGCTTTTGGATGGTTAAAGCAGGGCTTACTCTGCACTTGGAGGGCATACCTGTTATCAGACATTCTCTCCTGTCTTCCTGTTCCCAAATACCTAGCAGCTGCTTCCCAAATAATTGACTCAAAGGCTTAATATTGCTTATAAATGCTCAGCCAATAGCTCAGGCTTATTACTAACCAGCTCTTACATATTAAGTTAACCCATATCCCTTATTTACAGTCTGCCATGTGGTAGTACTTTTATTAGAATGGCATGTTCATCTCTGGCTCCTTCTGTGTCTGGTTGGTGACCCTGACTCCACCCTTTTCTTTCCCAGCATTCTCAATTTGGCTTTCCCGCTGCCTAACTTTATCCTGTTCAGCTATTGGGCAGTCAGCTTGTTTATTAAACCAATCACAGTGACAGATCTTCACAGTGTACAAAAGGATTATTCCACAGCATTTCTTCCTTTTTGTCTAATTAAAAATGAAGGCTTTAACTTTAACGTAGTAAAATTGTATACAATAAAAAGAGTTATTAAGTAAGAATTACAGTGACAATATCTAGTCTATTTGTATCTGACAAAATTAGAGAAAGTATTTTATCTATCTTCTCTTGGTGAGTCTAAAGTCTCACATCTAATTTACCTTTTTCATTATAACTAAGAAAAACTGTAAGTTTATCTAGTCTTTAACTCTATCAAAGACTCCAGAAGGATGAAATATTACCTAACAACAGGGTCATCATGTTGCTTGGACAGTCACCCAAAGTTCTCTGCAACGTTGGGGCATCCATCTTTGGTCTACAGGCCTAGCACATCTGACAGACTTTCCTGTGAAGCAAGAAATTTTGAAGGACTGTCCTACCTTGTCTTGACAAAGTTCAGCAGTTGCCTTCTTCGTGTCCTGCTGGTCCAATTTAGACGGCATACTGTCAGCAATTGAGGCAAGGGCAGTTTCTCTGTCCACATGGCTAGCTTTTGCCATAAAGAAAACCAACTCCATATGGAGTTTCTTTGATGTCCATCATCTTCTCTGAAGTAGATTGGTGGTGCCAGAAGCAGACATGTCTCACTGTCAAGAAAAGTCTGAGTTATTAAAACATTTAAATGACATATTCTGTAGGTCTTTGAAGTGTTTGAAGATGACCCATCTATTTGAAATATATCTCTGTATACCTAGAAAACCTAACTAACATGACTATAAGTTTGACTATTATAGATGACTACTAATCTGCATTTCTTAAGTATACATTACATTTTTAAATGAGCTGCATAAACAAAATATCTTAAAAAGAGTAGAAATATACATATAACAAAATTAACTTTAAATTTGTATCAATAAACTAAAATCCATACTAATATAAAATGTGTAAGATTAATAGTTGTTTTCTGATTAAAGTAGATTTAATAATCTACCTTTTATCCTATCATTTCTATATCCCCCCCTTTATCTTTTCAGAACATGATTCATGACTCTAATCTGTTTTGTTTAGCTTTTTTCCTGACCATTATCCATAACAACTTGCCTTTTTTTTTTGAGACAGGGTTTCTCTGTGTAGTTTTGGTGCCTGTCCTGGATCTTGCTCTGTCAACCAGGATGGCCATGAACTCACAGCTATACCCCCTGAGTGCTGGGATTAAAGGCATGTGCCACCACTGCCCGGCCCATAACAACTTATAACCAGCCTCCCTAAAATGATAATAAATATCTATAACCCATTTTTTTTTTGGAATGTGGGTGTAGTTTTCTAGACTACTTCCTGCTGATTGGGGGTGCTGGTAATCTTTGAGGGACCCTGAGAAAGTTCAAGATTATGGTCAAGTTCTGACTGGAGTAGTCTCTGAGGCTGGATCATCTCAGCCAGCAGCCTTAAGACCGTTCTGGATGCAGAACTCAGAGGAATCTGCAACAGAGACATTCTGAAATACTGCACTAAAAAAATCTGTTCCCATTGGAGATTTTTCAGGAGGTCTTCCTTGATCAAATCTGATTTTTCTTAACCTAGAATAAAATATCATTTCCTCTGGAAATA